AAACTGAAGTGGTGAAATACTGCTTGAACGCTGGGATTATCATGAATGGCCTAAATGCTTGGCGCGGATTTGATTCATTTTTGTATGAGGAAATAATGTTCCATTGCGCGCCAAGCATAATATGAACATTGGTCAACTGAAGCATCTTGTTGATCACGTGGTCGAATTGAAAAGCTGCCAGGGCTGCGATATCTTGCGTAAACTTTCCGACAATGGTCCTTTGCATGCTCTGCATGTGGTCGACCACTCAGCTCTCATCCCTACTTCCGATAGCATGAATTATGATGGTTACGAATAACTCATGGGGTGTTGGGAAAACGTCAACGAATTTGACAAAGAAGATAAAATATTCACTCATCGAGAGCTTACCAGTTAAACAGTTTGTAAATTGCCGAATCTCGGGGAAAAATAATATATGATATTTGATCAATACTAAAACTTGTATTTAACTGGTTGGCTGCCTAATCTAATCTATTTCCGTATAATGATAAGATAAACACCAGCATCTGGAAAATTGGAATTATACGTGATGATAGGATTAGCAAAAAGGGAATTTAATTTTTAGACAGAAATTTATTTTATGTTTTGTACATAAAATATGAAAACTGAAGAGTAATTATGATAATAATAAGGAAAAAAAGAAATAACTAAAATTTCGAGAATGAAAAAAATAAAAATAATAAGCCTTAATAAAGCAAATTGGGCATTATTATTTATTAAGTGTATTTGTTATTGGAAATTTGGGTATAAATAACAAATTGAAAATAAGTTGCGTTCGTATTGAAAAACTACTACGAAAATTGAGGGTTTAATCTTTTCCCTTTTATTTTACATAACACCTTATTCAGAAAAAAAACTTGTTTTTAATTTAAAATTGATCAAAAAAAGAGAGTAATCTCATTCTACAACTTTTCCATAACTTATTCAGATTTATTTTTTTAAAAAAATGTCAACTTTTATTGACTTCTTCTTTAAATAAAGAAAAAATTCAAGTAACGCAATTTAACAGGGCATTTATTTATTTATCCAGATTGTTTTTGGAGCAAAAATTGACGAAAACAACTCAATTCGTAACAAAACAAATTCAGTTTTAAATTATATTTTTCTTTTCGGTGCTTAAAATCATTTTAAAATGACAGATCACAGTTTTTAACAAATAAATCAAATTTAAAAAATAATCATTTCAATGAAATTAACTATTTCCTGGCAACGTCCTGGAACAATTTTAAAAAAAATATTGGTGTTAATTCCATAAGCCATAAATAACGACGATTTATACTAAAAACAATGTGTTGCTAATGTTTAAGTTTATGCTTATTAGAATTAATAGTGTAAATTATTCCATAATAATAATCGTGATTTGTCAAATCTAAATACGTTATAACGAAACAATGTATTTTGAGAAAGTATTTTGGATTTCAGAAAGGCATGCTAATTACAATTTTTATTAAATTGTCCCAGGAAAAACCTGATTTTATTTTTGTTACTTCTAGTGATTAGCATTGGTTCAAAATGTTTTTACGATTTCCTTATCGTGGGAATAGATTTCAGAGAAGTACGTAGTTAAGATGTTGCAATGTAACAAAACATAATGACTATGTTGCCAATTTTCAAGGAAATGTTATCTTTCACAGCTTTGTTGCACAAGAGATGACAAGATATCCATGGGAGGTCTCCTTCCCCTTAAAAGGGAACAAAAATTTATGGCCTATAGTCCTTTTCAGGATTGCACAATTCAACTTTTGCATGAAGTGAGTGGGGTGAGAAGAAATATATACGTATATTCAGCCACTGTAGCATGAATTATTTTTGTGACTATTAGAAGTATTTGTTGCGTTTTAAATTTAATTCATCATTTTAGTCTGAATTTTTAAAAAATATTTTGTGCATAAACTTTTAAATTGAAGGAAAATTACAAATAACAGCACTGCCTGATTTTTGGTTTTAAAACGAAATGATCATACAATTTTTTAATTTAAAAGGAAAAAAAAATTTTTTTTAATTTTAAGAAAAAATTTCCACATACAAATAATTTAATTTATGAATCAAATTATGATTTTTCGTTTTCATGTTGCATAAAATTACTCGAGAGTCAGACTTCAAATTAAAAGAGCAGGATAGCATCAGTTTAATTTTCAATACTTGCTTTAATTGATAAATTTTTAAATGAATGAATACTAACCTTAAATTAAACTACATCAAACTAGTGTAAAAAAATTTTTTATTTATTTGTAATTATAATATGTTTTTAGAACAGTTTCTGAAAAAGTGTAGTGGGTTCAAATTTTGGTTGACATGATTTTCAAAAATAAAGAATATTTATATTTCTCAACATTCAAAAGACATTTTTTAGCTATATATAATTTTACTCGACTATGAATGGTTAAATTTACAATAAATTCAGTTGAGTACATTTAAGTGATTCTAGGTGTCTTATAAAGAGCCTGTGGTTTATCTTATTTTCTAACAATATATCCAAATTTATCATTTCAACATATAAAATATAGATCTTTAGTCTTCAAAAAAGTTTCAGACTGAGAAATTTTAAAAACTGTGAGAAATGGAACATCAATAAAAACTCCTTATTCTCTTGCGAATTTTTAATTCTTGCAAGTAACTTTTGAGCTGAGAAATCAAAAACATTTATGAAAATGGAACCTGATTAAAATCTCCGTATTCTCTTGCGAATTTCTGTCATTGCAAGAAAGTTTCAGGTCTCGAAATTAAAACTGTAATGTGCAATGGAACCTGATTAAAAACTCCGTATTCTTGCTGATTTTTAGTTCTTGCTAGTAACTTTCACGCTGAGAAATTAAGAACTGAAATGGGAAATGAAAACCTTGATTATATAACTCCGTATTTACTTACGAATTTTTATCCTAGCAGGAAAGTTTCCTGCTGTGAAATTAAAAACAGTAATGGAAAATGGAACCTAATTAAAATCCCCCGTATTCCCGATCCTCTAGTATTCTTTTGCAATTTAAAATTACAAAATGTTGAGTTTGACATCGAAACTTAATAATTAATAAAATTTTTTAGCAGTTTGGTTTTAGGTAGATCTAATTAACAGACATATACTGTTGTTCTCTGTTAAAAAATTTGGAGCATGTAGGTTGAAGTATCGATTGCTTGTTTTTAAAAGTGTGTTGTAACATTTTTGTAAAATAATTTTAGCACTCTTTGATTAAAATTAAAAACTTCGTCGACAATGTTATTTTTTTTAAATATTTTTTTTAAAGAAGTGTATAAATCTTTATTCTTACCAATTACTTGCTTACCAATAACCTCCGTGTTTCGCATATCATATAGCTCATGAAAAATGGTTTTATAATATTTTTTGAAATTAATTAATTGGAGGACATTTGGAAAGTATGCTGATGGCTCCTCTATATGAATTATCTTCCTTAAATAAATATTCAGCATTTTCTTTGTAATCAATAATATTAAAAATAATAATAAAAAAAATAATCTGCTAATGATGTAACTACTCATTTCTACAATTGAAGCGTTCAGAGCAAAAGTGGATCAAATCCAAAATCACTGAAAAAGTTTCTATTACGGATTGCTGTTTGTTAACGGTGAGTATTTTTAACGCCAAGATGAACGACGTCTTCTTGAATCACTAGGATTCAATTAGTGATAATAAACTTCAGTTTCAGTTCGTATTTAAATTTATAAACTATTAATATTTATTATTTTAACTTTGCTGTAGACTCTTCAGTGTTTCATAATAGTGCAGCTACACTTTATAGTTGGTATTCAAAAATATTGGGTCTTCTTGTCATTTCAACTATTTTTTTTTTCAAATATTTTCTTTTTTTTTTGACAATTACTTCTTAACCCGATTAAAATAAATCATGGTTCATGATTACAATTTTAATCATAATTATAAGCAATCATAACTAATAAATACAATTGTAATCAGAATTACGATCATTATTCAGGGTTACCACTCAAATCTGGAAAAAAAAACTCCCTATATTTTCCCTGTATACATAAACGATACACAATATATTAAGAGGAAACAGAACAATTACTGTGCTCTTGTGTGAGCTATATTGGGCTAATTATATTTATTAGTTTCAATTCTTGGTGAAACGTAGAGTAAAAAAAAGAACAGCGGAACATACTTAAATGCTATAGTAAATGAAATAGTCTAGTATAGCTGTAATATCATGCTTAAATATCCCATAGATTACGCTTTGAGTGGTCACCATTTTTTAAAAGACGAAAACAAGAAACAAAATTCCCCTTATTTTCCCAATTCACAAAGAAAGAATCAAAATTCCCTGCACTTTCATTGTTATTTGAGGTGATTTTTAAATTCCCTGTATTTTCCAGGTTTTCTCTTTGAAGCGACAACTCTGATATTAAAACACGATGAATAAAAACAAAAATCTCCATTCGAAGCTATTATAAGTTTACTTAATCTTAATTACAAAGGCAATACTGATTACGAAGAATTACATTTATCTTTTATTACGAAGATTTATTGATTACAATTTATCATAATTACATAACCTCAACTGCTAATGTAATCTTCATTACAATCTATCATAAATCTAATTTTGATTACCAATAATCATAAGCATATGTAATCGTTATTTCAAAATAATTTACAATTGTAATCTATTATATTTTTGCCTAATTGATAGTTTCCTTTTCATCAAAATAAAATAAAAAGTAAAAGTCCCGTAACTTGGACTTTTGTATATAGATATTCTTTAAAAATTATTTTAATATATAAAAAAACCATTTTCCCGTTTTCCTTACAATCAAATCCATTTTTTTTAACTAAACAACTGTTACCTTTTTGTCAAATTTTGATAAAAGGTGAAAAAAATCCGATCCCTCAAATTAAAATAAAAGAAATAACGTACAACCGGGAAACTTACATATTTATCACATTACAATTAATAGGTAATTTATGTCCCACATAAATTTTCTATTTATTATTTTAAAATTCCATAACTAATTCCCCAACAATTCTTATCTTTCAGCTTTATGATCTACAGTCATATCTCTTCTCGAAAAAAATTCCGGCAGCTCACCCACCAGTTCATCATTAGAGTTTGTGTTCAAAATTTCATTTTAATCATTCAAAGCATTCGACATTAACGACCGCCCTGAGTTATGGCACCGCCTACAGCATCCAGTGATTGGCGAGCTTCCTGACAGATTGACAGTTACGTGGCCCTGCCCACTTCGGATTCTTGCTCTGAAGTTAAATATGGCCACCTTAGACGTCATCTTTTCCCGGGAGTCATTTTACGATATTACTCTTGAACCTTTTGTGTGTTCAAGTTTATGGCTCCGAAGACACCCTGAAAATGATTCTATCACCTGAAACCTGATCACCACTATTTTAGTAAGATTTTTCTTGTTGACATATTTATAACCTTTTAAGAGATGGATGTACCTCTTTCTTAACTGGTTTTTTATTGGCAGGTTTTGTGGAAATTTCAACACATAGTTTATCAACATTTACTTAAAAAACTTTTTTATTATTATTATTTCCTTATAAAAAAATTTCTTCCTATCAAAATTTCGTGATTTTTTATTAATTAAAACTTAAATTTTAAATTGGTTACCAAATTTTGTTTTGGTATTTCTTACGCCATACGCTTAAATTGTGCATTAAAAAAATTACAGAGAACAACTAAATCACGCGAAAAATTAAGTTATATTTTTTGTAACTGTTCTAAAGCTCAAAGAAGATCTTCAGAATTGACTTTCAACAAAACAATCTCTATTAATAAAAATAAGAAAGTTTAATGTTACTTTTTTCTATAATTGATGAATAATTTTTGATAATTTTTTTAGGATTTAATAATTAATTTAATACTTTTTCCAGGAAAAAAATATTCTTTAAAAAAATTGACAATTAAAAAACTAATACTCGTATATGGAATTAAATTTGAATTAAAACTGTCAATTCTTCTGACTGATTATTAAATATTAAATTTCCCTTTTATCTCGCGCCAAATTTAAATTTTAAAAGCTATTTCAGAAAAGGAAGATAAAAATTTATGATCACCAATTGTGTTTAAAAAAATCACACTTAAAAAAAAAGTGCAATGTACTTCATGCAATTAATTTCATATAAATCAAATCAAATTATTCATCAAAGCAGTTGCAAATTTTTTTTAAAAATATTAGAAGCATACTACAAAATACTTCAGTTGATCTTTCAATCTCAAATAAAACGTAATTTCGCAGCGTAATTTCTAATCGAGAAAAAATTTTAAGAATGATCAGCAGTAATTTTAATCTTCTCACTTTGCTCTGATTCGCGTTTCTCACTGGCTAATTTATAATGCTTTGCGAGTACTATAAGGAGATTTTTCAATTGCGTAAATTTCAATTTTTCTAAATACTATTGATCGCAAAATAAAAACTAACTGATTAATGCAATTAGTATAACCAATATAAATCGCTGTCATTAAAATGAAATTATAATTATTGCCTAACTTTCGAAAAACTGGGCGATTAAAACTAAAGTTTGCACATAAGCACTATTAACATATTTTAATAATTTTACTGAAAAAGATTAAATTAGTTTTGTGATACATAAAATTCAGAAGAAAATTTACATAATTTACATTTTCATACATAAAATTCAGAAGAAAATTTATTTAAATAAAAGTTCACTGTATATCTCAACTTTAATTTAATAAATTACATAGAAATTACAACGAAATTCAATTTTTTTGAATTTTATATTAATTTACTTCATAGAGATATTATTTAATTTAAGACTTCATTAAGCAGATTTATTGATTTATATTTAGAAATAGAACAGTAATAAAATTTATTTATATCAAATAAATATTATTAGTATTTAATTGTTTATATCTAGTGTATTTATTGTTAATTATTCTATACGAGTATAAACCATGGTATATCTATTAGCATTAATTATTTATTCTTAACTATTAAAACAGTAATTCAAAAAAAAAAATATATTATTCATTATTTTTTAAATGAACTGTAACACCTGTCCTAGTATCCTTATTTAATTATTTTATAATTAATTTTTTCGTTATTCAATGTTTTTTAAAATTCATAATGCTTATTAAAAATATCTAAAAAAATGTTCTTTTTTTTTTTTTAAATTCAATATTTTTATTTTCAGCAAACTATTACATAATTTGATATTGCGGCTGTGTATATTGCAACTATTTGCATTTCCGAAACACCGCAACCGACTCCACAAACCATTTCAGGTGAGTTTTTCTTTCTTTTTTTTCTTCTCTCCGTCCCTCGTCTCTTAAATTTTCTTTATAGGCCACTTAAAGTGGCAGGGATAGCTTCATAAAGTCAACAGGGCAGAGGCAGTCAGGCTATCACAGGGGATGAAAAGCCTCATCATATTCTTGTCGCTTTTACTTCAACCGTTTACTACAGCCATAGACCGACTCGAAAAGTGTGTAAACAATCTATGTTCACTCGCACTCAAAAAGATATAAAGATTATTTTATTGGCTATTCATTGCTCTCTTGCTGTTCTTATTTAATCTAAACAAAATGAAAAAAAGTACTTTGATAATGCGTGGATATGGATTATAAATTGATTATTATCAGAATTTGTTCGGAATTAAAGATAAATTATTGCATTCTCTGTAAATAAATAAATAAAAGTGACAAATATTTATTAAATAATTTGTGTAAGAAAAATTACTGAACCATTTTTATAAACTTAAAAGTGTAATTTCATTACTAATACGTTAATGAATTTTTGCGAAAAATTTTCGCAACGAAAAAATTTATGATACTGATTACAATTTATTTCAATTAAACATTTCTAAACCAATGGTCTGCTGCGTCCTTTTAAAAAATGATAATCGAAATAATATTAATTTTACGATTGTTAAAAAATATGTAATACAGTTTTAATATAAAAAGTACTAAATCAAAACTAAAAAATAACAATAAGTTAAAACGCTATTTGTTAAAAAAATAAATAAATAAATAAAAATTTAAAAAAAAAAGAGAGAGAGTTTTTTTAATAACTTTTGAAGCGTATATTGAAATATTCGTAAATATTTAAAAGCAATTTTCGTAAAAAATAAAGTTATCTTTAAGTCCGTGACAATTTGTTTCATGTTAAAATTTCTAAATTGAGAAAATAATCAAAATCTCTAGTCAAAACCTTAAAAGATAAAATTGACTTTCGAAAACAAATTTATAATTAAATAATTTATCAATTATTTCGAGCCTTTCTCTAAAGGATAACGTTATTTATATCGATGAGCGTTTGTCCGAATTTTAAAAAAAATTAAAAGCTGTTTGTCTCATGTATATTCAAGGAAAAAGCTGACTTTTAAAGTGTAAATTTACAATTATATTCTTCAAGAATTATTTGAAAATTCTCTTAAAGAATAAAATTGTTTAAACTGCGAACGATTTGTTTTACTTCAACGTTTGTAAACCAATGGTTTACTGTATACTTCAAAATGAAATTAAAAAGTCAGCTATTTTGTTGGTTGATTATTTCTTTCTTTTTTTCCTATTAAGTAAAACTGAAATAATAACGCATGTAGATTTTAAATTTAATGTAATTGTAATCATAAATAATTAATTTAAAATGTTTTTGTGAGTGAAATTATCCAAGAAAAGTTTGTAAATTGCTTCTAAAATTATTTTAATAAGATAAAAACTGAATTAATTAGTTAAACTGAATTAATCAGTTAAAAGAAAAGTTTCGGAGAAAATACTTTTTGACTCAGAAAATATCAATTATTTATTTTAAATACATATATTGTTTTATAAAAACATTAAAAGAACTGATAAGTAAGTTGTTTTTTAATCTAGCAAAAAATTATTTATTCTACCGATAAAAGCCTATTAATTTATCATAATAAAGATTTTATATTCCTAAGTAAGACTTTAGAAAAATTTATATTTTAGAAAAATGTATAGTTCATGAAATTTAAACTGATTTTAACATCCAATTTTATTAACTCGAGTCATTATTTCAATTCATGATGTGATTGAAAAATTATAATAGAATCACATAGGTGAATTAATTTGTTTGATGAAGATACGTTTTACGAATTCGAGTCAATGGATCTTTACCCTCGATTTAACTTGCGGGTTCGGTTATTTTAATCACCTTAAATGACTCCCTTTATTTAACTTTATTCAGTATTATTATAAGAAAACGAAATATAAATTAACATAAAATTTAAAGACGCAAATATATTTTATTTACATATTTAGACTATCAATAAATAAATCTCATTTTTACAAACTGTTATTTATAAAAACTGTGATAAACATTAGCTTTCAAAGGCATTCTAGTTCATTATAGACAAGAGATGAGAAATTGAACGAGTTTTGTGTATTTTTTTCTTTATTTAAAAGAAGGTTGGCTTTTGTAGGAGGGGCAAAACGCAAAACATTATGCCCCGGGTGAAGTATTAGGGGTCAGGGATCAAACACGAAGAACTGGTTTACTCTTATATTTGGGGCGAGAAATTGCACGAAATTCGAATAGAAAAAACACTCTTTTCAGCAGGCGATCGGTATTTGATGGCTCCATTAATCGTTCCAACTGAGAATAAGCTGATAACTTTATTTAGATTGTATCGAGTAGAATTATTGAAGGGAACCATACTGTGAAAAATTAGTAATGCAGACTGTAAATGTAATCAACTAATTATATTTGCTGATTACTTTTTTGTATTTTACTTTTTTTTTTTAATGAAACCAATATTTTGCGTAAAATGAGTAATGAAGAATAATATTAAATAACCGTTATTAATAGTAATTGAAAATTGAAATAACCACTATTAATAAGTAATTAAATAGTAGCTATTTATTTATAAAAAAGATAAAGTTACCCTTTAATTGGGTTTTACGAAGAAAAGATAATGATAGTAAAACTAAGAATTGTTAAAATTTTTAAGTTAACAGTTTTTTATTTTCCTCTTATTTATTTTTAAAAAAAAACATATCGATACAAATAAAAGCATTGCAGTTTTAATAATTTATTTATTATTTATTTCTAGTTTTTTATGTTTATAGAACTCATATATTTAAGAGGAGGCAAAATTTATTTTGAAAAGAATGACCCAAGAAGAAAGAAAAATAAAAAAAAGACATAAAATAAAACAAGAATAATAAAGAGCAACTATTTAATATCGTTTTTCTCTTTCAAAATAATGTATTATAGACTAAACTAAAAAAAAAAAAGTATAATTAAGACGTTTTTTTTTTTTACTTTGTTTTAAAATTTAAACAATTGAAATTAAAGGGATTATTAATAAAATTTAGTCAACACATCAATTAAAGTTGAATACAAAATTTCATTAGTATGATTTTGACAAAATAAACTTTGAAACTGGAATATGGCGTAAAAATCTTCAATAAAAACAGTCTTGTTATAATCTTTGATGAAGAACATAGTGTAGTTATAAAATATAAGCAAAAATACTTTTAACAAGTCTGAACCATTCCTTTGACTTCTTAAAACAATAGATCAAATGCTGAAAGAAATCAAATGCTGAGTATTTTTAGTTTAGCTTTAAATAAATTTTTTTAAACAGAATGTTCTGTAAAGACCATCCTTAAAACATGCTCTTAAAATCCATTTCAAAATCGTATACAGAGTAGAGGCCAGAAGTTTATATGAATATCAATTAGGGATAACATATATCCCTAATTAATATATAAGATGTCTAATAAAGAAGAAATTAAGACTATTAATAATTATAACTATTTTCGAGGATGTTAGCGTATTTATGATTGATGACATCAAATCATGTTTGATTTCCGAAGGAAACGGTGAGAGTTAGAGGTTATTCGATCTACTCTTTAGGACAATTCTAATTTTACACAGACAATCAAATTGGTTTCGATGTTGTTCGTCCCATTTTTCTCCTACAGATTCGGTAGGTTAAAAAATGTTTTACATTTAAACATTAATTAATGTTTTACATTAATTTACATTTTAAGCAAGCATTCATTAAGTATACATCAAGAGCGGTGATTATGGAGCTCTATGAATATAGCTCATGAATCTGTAACTAAAATACATTAAGCAAAGAATTCACTATTTTTGCATCAATTGATACACCTACTTTTAATAATTTGACTGATGTAATGATTTTATTAATTGTTATTTCTTTAATGTGTATTGTAGGGTTAAGGGAATTGCTTCCATTTTTTACTTTTATTTTATTTTTTGTGATTAAAAAAAGATATTCCAAATATTTTAAAAGTTATTTACCAATATTTTTCACTCGATTTCTTTCACAAATAGTGAAACTCGATTTCCTTCACACTGTGATCATATCTTTTTTATTCTTTCTATTATTTTTTATTCTTTTATCTGACAAATATAGCATGGTTTAAATNGTATTCGATCTACTCTTTGAGACAATTCTAATTTTACACAGGCAATCAAATTGGTTTCGATGTTGTTCATCCCGTTTTTCTTCTACTGATTCGGTAGGTTAAAAAATGTTTTTGTCTATTTTTTGCTTAAAAGTAATTTATGATCCGAATATATTTTTTAAACTTCATTTTAAACAGACATTCATTAAGTATACATTAAGAGCGGTGATTACGGAACTCTATGAATTATAGCTCTGAATCTGTAACTAAAATACATTAAACAAAGAATTCACTATTTTTGCCTCAATTGATACACCTAATTTTAATAGTTTGACTGATGTAATGATTCAATTAATTGTTATTTTTTTAATGTATATTGTAGTGTTAAAGGAATTGCTTCCATTTTTTATTTTATTTTTTGTGATTAAAAAAAGATATTCCAAATATTTTAAAAGTTATTTACCAATATTTTTCACTCGATTTCTTTCACAAATAGTGAAACTCGATTTCCTTCACACTGTGATCATATCTTTTTTATTCTTTCTATTATTTTTTATTCTTTTATCTGACAAATATAGCATGGTTTAAATATTGTAAAATTTTCAGTACATAAACTAACTTCACACGCGGTTTGTAATAAATCGAAAACAGTTTGGAGGGGAAAAAAATCTGCGCATAGTTTGAACAGTTGAGCTCCGTTTAAAACTTAGCTGAAATAATAAATATATTTTATTTTTCTAAACAAATCTAATTGAGTAAACAAACTTGCCTAAATTTAGATTTTTCTTTTTTGTACGTTTGGCTTTTCACCAAAAATCATAGATCACGGAGTCGTGTCGTCATTTTCTGTTTTCGAAAACAAAAGATTCTGAATCATTTTTTGCTGA